TCGGACCACCGAGTGACTTCTTTGGGATAGGAAAATATTATGTGCAAGCCCTCTCAGGTTTGGGGCTACTACGTTACCAGGGGCTGGGTGTAGGGAGAAATGGGGAGTTATTGTTCAATGGGTACAGAGTCTCAGTATGAATGACAAAAAAGATCTGGAGATGCATAATGGCGATGGTTGTGCAACAATATGAATGCACTTAAGGCCACTGAACTGTACACTTAAAAATGGTCAAAACAGTCAGTTTTATTTTATGAATATTTTACCAAAATAAATATAAATAAAGAGCAGGAGCAGGACTAATATGACACATTAATAAACAACTAATTGTGTGTAAACACGAAAACAGACAGAAATATATCTGAAAGGATGATCACCAAAATGTTTGATGGACTTATCTGAGTTGTAGGATTTCAAGGTGATTTTTATCTTTCTTCTTTATATTTTCCTACATTTATATAGGCACATAAATGCCTTTATACCCATGAGGTCACACATGCTATTTTTTTTTTAATTATTTTTTATTTGTTTTTATTTTTTGAGTTGGAGTCTCACTCTGCCGCCCAGACTGGAGTGCAGTGGCCGCTCCCAGCCACCGCAGCCTCGGCCTGCTGGGCTACGGCGATCCTTCTGCCTCAGCCTTCCAAGTAGCCGGAATTACAGGCATGCACTACCACGCCCAGCTGATGTTTTTGATTTATTGTAGAGATGAGGTCTTGCTGCATTAACTATTTTTATTTGAAGAGTAGGACAAAATGAATTACCTAAATTCATTCCAATTATCACCTGTCATGAATGTTCAAAATGTGTTCCACTTGACTAAAAGGTAAAAATGTGGACTACCATGAATCTTTCATGAAAAGCTGATAGATGCCATTTGTTTTTTTATTAGCAGTCAAGGTGAATGGTTTTTAAAATGTTAGTGCAGGCCGGTCATGGTGGCTCAAGTCTACATAATCCCAGCACTTTGGAAGGTCAAGGCAAGAGGACTGCCTGAGCCTGCAGGTTGAGACCAGCCTGAGCAACATGGCGAGACCTCATCTCTACAATACATCAAAAAAAATTAGCCGGGCATGGTAGCAAGCTGAGGCGGAAGGATGGCCTGAGCCCAGCAGGTTGAGGCTGCGGTGGCAAGAAGCGTGCCACTGCCCTCCAGCCTGGGCAACAGAGTGAGACTCCAACTCAAAGGAAAAAAGAAAGATTCTAAAAGTATTTCTATGATAAATCCTGCTATGCTTCCACAAGTAGTATTTAAAGAAATTAGATTATTTCACAGGCATGCCTTATCTAAATGCCCCATCCTCCTTTTTCTGGTATCACTATCATTTAGTAAAGTCTCTACTCTATGCTAGGTGCTGTCTTAAACACTTAATATATCCCCAGATTTAACTGTCACAATTCCATGAGATTCAAAGAACCTTCCTAAGGAAAGGTGGTTAAATGCAAAGTCAGAATTTAAGCCTGCTAGTGTTAAGACCTCAAAATCCATTCTCTTTTTCTAATACATTAGAGTAAGTTAATACATTACTATTAATGACAATAATAGGAAACATCCATGGAAGAGATAGGGCTTGAAGATCATTTAAAAGGATAAATGAGTTATGTGGGTGTGAGAAGGAATATAATCAACACAGCACAAAAAAAGAATATGCAAGGCTTATGAAACACTAATGAAATGTATGAGGTTTCTAACATTTCTTTATTTTTGGATAGTTTTTTTGGAATATGCTATTGTGATACATTTTACCTCTATATGTTACCAGTTCCACAGTATATATATTACTATTTTTAATTTCAAGAATCAATAAGTTTTTAAATTCCCCCCCCCTTTTTTTTTTTGAGTTGGAGTCTCACTCTGTCGCCCAGACTGGAGTGCAGTAGACACTCCTGGCCACCGCAGCCTCGACCTGCTGGGTTCCAGCGATCCTTCCGCCTCAGCCTTCCAAGTATGT